AAAATTCTTGTCTGGCGCGCTGATCGTTTCATCCCGACCCCTCCTATTCGGTTAGCTCCGAAGGTAATTGCTCCAAATTTTGACGGCCGTTCGTTATTCCTTCGGGTCCTCTGTGAACGTTCGCGAGGTCCATCGGTTAGTCCGTTGGCACCTTAGGTAGGTCACCCAAGTGTCATTTCGGCGTCATTCTTGCCCATCTTGTCTGCGAGTGGCCATAGCAACGTCTTCATATGACAGTTGCTTTGGCATGCGATTCGTCCCTGAATCGGTGTGCCAACTGACCTGGGCACCTGGGACTCGCTCATGATACTTCACGTTTTATACCCCCAAAGGCAATTTACTTGAAAGTGGGTTAACTATCTCGCTTGACTTTATTAGATTGTCCAGGTCGCTACGCGATAGGGTAGGATTATGTGAGAGTCCTGCTCACCCCGAATTTCGTGCTAAGGATTCCACGATTCCAAGCAGTGTAATGGCCTAGCCAACCTTAAATACCAGAAGTGGAAACCTAATCATCGAATCCCAACTACGAGATGGCGCTGCCCGGCTAAAATGGGTCTACGGATGCGGAGAGATTGTCATCGACATTTAAGGCGGTTTCGGTGTATTCGACAGTGGGCGCCCGTTGGTGCATGGCAATCGTCTTCTGCGTGCTTACTGCTAGTTGAGAGTTTGCGCATCTGCAAACGAAGAGGCCCGGACTCTTCTGCATGCCCATTCCAATTGCAGTGCTTCAATTGTGCTCCAACGCTTAGGTTACTCGCCCTACGTAAACCATCTTTTCAACTAGCACCACGCGTCGAGGGTTGTTGACTAACGCAATAATTTGGCTTCGCTCAGGACAGAAGGGTTGGTTGCAAGTACTCCTTCCTAACAAGGCCTTTATGGCCCCGTCGTCCTCGTTAAATTCCAGAAGAGTTCGTAGAGTTTGAGAGCAGCACGCTATCATGCCACCTACTCTCTCAGACTTTCAGAGTGGGTACCACCCGCCCACGACAGTCACACGCTCCGGACATAAATATAGTTCAGCGCCCTCTTTTACTGCGAAGCTTGTTTGGGTCAAATTTGGAGAAAATCAGCATACGGACGGTGCTCAGGAGATGAATTCGGTCTAGGAGATGGAGCGCAACCCTACCAACGACGCCAAGATGATTTCAGCTACAGTCGTCCACGGCCCGCATTTCTGTCATTCTTTGGTGATACGGTAAAGTGGCGATGAGGAAATTGAGACTTGCAAAACTAAACACAGATGCTTACGGTGACAAAACTAAAAGACAGAGTAAGAAGTCCAAATGTGCGGTAGAAATGTATTTTTTACAAAATAAAAAACAGATTGAGCTTTTTCAAGGGGGAAGCGGGTGGGTGATTTCACATCGTGTAGCCGCTTGGAAGATGACACGATACGGACCACAGAGTCAAGGAGATTCGTTGATCAAGCTCAATGGCGCCAGTACGGCTGGCCAATAAGAGAACAAGTCATAACAAATAAAGCAAAATGATGCACTAAGGTAAGCCTCGCTGCCGCATGTGGTGACTTGTAGACAAGGAGACTGCGCGAACTCCTGGTTGAACAAGTTGTCTTAAGCTAGGGAATAGGGAGGAAAGGTAATATGTCTTAGTGACAAGAATATAATTTTTGACAAAAACGCCATGCACACTTTATGGGGACCCACAAATTCGACTAATAGACTACGGGGCAGTAAATCCGTGATAACAGGCTATTTATTGACGTAATACAGGAGCAGTGAACGAGAATTTTTCGAGACAAAATACCGGCGTCATCATTTTAAATAACGGTCAGGAATCGTACTCGTATTCGGAAGGGCGTCATTTACGTTACATCGTGTGCCCCAATGGGATCACCTCAAGGTCATCATACTGACTTAGCTGATGAAGCCCATGTAGTTTACTGGCAGCGTGGGGGGTTTAAGTTCTTTGATTTGAGCTATTTTAGGTGATTGCATGGGTATGAACGGGTCGTTAAACCCCAGTCCCGAAACAGGTGCAAATGTGCATTAAATTAACCACACCTAAGGAGGTTTACCCATTTTACGGCGGCCAGCTTGTGAGAATGACAGGTCAGCTCCTTCAGAAACGACTATATCACAGCAATGAGCACAGATAAGATTTAAAGTACAAGCAGAATGCTTCGTCGTTTTCTGACATTAAAGTGACGCAGCAATATTCGGCACCGGAAAACCACAGGATGGCAAACAGAAGCAAGGAATGTACGCTCACAAAGCATAGAACTTGTGCTACTAACGACTTACGCCTCCCGAATGTTCATATTCTCAGTGCCTGTTTAATACTTCCGGTCGGACTATCTGAACATCTGAGCCTCCACAACAACATAAACGATGTATGAGCAACACAAGACCACAAACACGATGGCAGAGTGACGGATGCGATCACCGTTCATCATGAGCAATGAGGAGTGGCTACACGGCAAAGCTCAACGGACATGCCTCGTAACCCAGTGGGTGAACGCACTTACAAGGCAGTCCGTTACGCTAGCCAAACAGCAGTTTTCTGGGCAGATAACACTACAGCCTTCATTAAAATAATTTGATGTGATTTTTTCTTGATGATCCAGTCCTTAGACTCCCCTTTGAGATAATGGTGTAAGACGGTTGATCAGAAGTTCGCGGGACATCTACCCACAAAGACACAATCGAGATCGTTACAGTTGCTGGTGCCTACGTAGCCCTTTTACATATTGGTTGGTAAATAGAAGCCAGTATAGAATGAATTCTCAACAGATCTTCGCAATAACGATAAAGCTGGAGTCAATTAGTCAGTTTTATACGGTTCGAACTGGAGTTGAAAACAGATGAACTGTAGGAGCCAGACCAACAGAGTGCATCTTGTCTATATACTCGGTTGTAAGTTGCCTATGTAGCTGAGACGGCCCGAAGGCAGTTAAGTCGAAAGGTACGTGTCTATTCGCTAGTCTTACGAAGCTTGGGATTGGAGTTTTCGTCGAGCTTACTAAAGTTGCTCTGGTTGGTCGAATTGTCTGGCTCCATGTTCAAGGATAGTCAAAGGCGATACAGAAGTATAAACGCAAATAACTCAGTAATAACTTATCCAATTAAGTCAAATGGTGGATATATGAGACGATCAAGAAAGTGCATGCAGCTCACACCAAATCCTGGACATGACGACATAAATGAGACTCCTGTAAGGGGGAACTAGGTTAGCTACGGTTACATCTGACTGGTACTGGTTTGGATGGAAGACCTAGCTATTTTAGGCAGAAACCAGGCACAAATTATTCACTTTGAAGAACACATATTTCAAAAGCAGTATGGATCCTGAGGGACCTAGGGTTCGGAAATGGAGGGCTGGATGCAAAGTTAAACCCTTAAGTCAGAGCATGTTCTCTGCCGCACTGAAATTTCACCTCCAAATCACTCCGCAAAGCCTGCTAAGGACGGCTAGCTGTCATAAAGTTGTGTCAGCACACCAAATCCGAGGCCGTAGAAGGGCAGATTGAGGTGCGTTGCGCATCGAGAACCGAAAAGGAAAGTAGCGGCGAACGACAGAAACCGCTGACCGCAGTCCACATAGCAACTACAACAGTCAGGATTATGCGGAAGTCATTCTACCTCGTGCGAGTGAGTAGCCAGTCTCTCACAGACGGAGTACCGTCAACAGTCTACTTTGTTGGGCAAAAACGTTGTACTGACGAAGAAAGCTACTAAGTCGGGCCAAATTATCTCGCTGAATAATTTTTTTCTGAATGGCTACCATACAGATTTTTCATGTCGATGCATGAAACAAGAATCGAAAGAAAAGGAGCCAAGTAGTTCCAATCAGGCACTCAAAGCAAATCCTTGGCAAACCCTTCCGTACGTTAAGAATGTGTCTGAACTCCTTGAATGGCACTGGAGGAAACATCGAAGACAAATGGCACAGGAACCAACGACCACTTTACGCACTCAGTTTGTACACCCTAAGGGAAAGTCGTCTGAAAGACTCCATGAGGTGCCTGCGATGCCGTATATTGTGGCAAAATGGGGAAATCTGTCCCTACACGCATTAACGGGCATTGAATGGCGGTTAAGAGGCGAGACCATCTATTTCAAGTGGCCATGCATACCCTAAATATCGGGCACACCTTGGCCTAGGACAAAGCTTGCATCGTCGGCGTCTGCCCCACAAAAAAGCCCGAGTTGCTCGAAGCCATACACTCAAATGAAACATGGATCAATCGGCATATCGAGTTAGATGCCATGTAAAAGAATCTTGGCAAAAATGGAAGTGACGAGAACCAATCAATATGTAGTGACGCACACGGCGGTCGCTTTCTAGTGCAGACACCAAACAAGCACCAATTCTTTAGGCAGGTTTGAAATTTTAACTGTTTTAGCACATCTGCTAGCATATGGAGGTGACCCGGAGAACTGGCGTTGAAAATTTTCCCAATAAAGTTTCCTTCTTTTCCCAAAGAACGTATTTAACTGTAGACTGTAATAACTGAGTCAACCTAAGAATCCTTCTGGTATCTACACGGACAGAACTCTAAAAGGAGCCTACGCATACCTGCTTGCATGAAACCTGGACCAAGATACGGGCGTAGACACTTCTAATGTGCAGGCCATGCCAGTCAAGCTGCAGCTAAATTGACAATCAACCATGACCAGAAATGAAATAAGTCGTTGGTGAACATCTGTATATCCTCTAAACCGGCTTGTAAATTGACAGATGGGGCTCAGAAAAATCATTTCTGTTATGCAGTTAGGTCGCTTATAGGCGATAACTGACAAAGTGTACGCGACAACACAACAATTTAGGGAGTCAGCTTTAAAAAATGCTAGGTTATTCAAAATAAACTTACTAGAGTTACCGCCCACGGTCCTGGTTGAGTTTTGAGGCTCTTAAATAGACAGGTTAACTATGTAAAACTCGATAAAATTACCCAAAGGTCCGACCACGCATGAAAGACGCAGAACAAGGTTGGTGGTCCAAAACATGAATGGGAAGTATTGGAAGCGAAATCATACAGGGGCGAAAGCCATTGAGATGTGAGGATCTGACAGGTCTTCTATCGCTAGATAAATTAGAATCAGACATAATGGCGTACGAAAATTCGTCTGGTCGCCCAAAAGTATCGGGAGAAATGTTGGCATCCGGGTCACCTGCAACCTTATCCAGTTTCACTGCTGGACAGAGATTGACGGAGGAATCTATATTCAACGGCGCTAGCATGACGTAGCACTCGTTGTATGATATTTTTGACAACAGTCCCGCGCGGAAATTGTCGACCAAATGTTTCCGAAGCTTAGAGAAAACACTGTAACATTTATCGCGTCGGTTGTGAAAGAAACTGCAGCGAGAAAGCCGTGACGAGCGGGCGTAAAAGAGCTCCCTTGCACGCGTAAGCCAGCATTTGCGTGAACACTTAATATTTCCCATGCCTGTCCGTTTCCTACGCGTTCTTACCGATGTATCGCAGGACGGAACAGGTGAAAGATCGCACAGGGACACACTCTCCAAAAAAGCGTTCTTCTTTTGTTTCTCCTCGTATTTCAAAATATCTCTACTAAGAGTTAAGCGAAATACCTAGTATTTTTACCGTTTATCAAGCACAACAGCACACTCCCTCAGCTGAGGGGCATCCGGAAAATCCATTACAAATGTAGCGCCATTTTTTAAGCGCAGAAAAAGTCCACCTGGTCGATCTTGCGCATGCTCCTTTTAGACGATTCAAGTAAATGATGCGAATATAAACGTCTACTGCCAAAGCCGCAAACTCGTTACTATAAGGACACGTTTTCAAGAACTTGTTAGTTTATTACACCTAAACTAGACATCGGTATATGGACTCCTGCATAAAAAAATATAACGGTGGGAGTAATAATGTCAAGGAGTGCGAACTGTTTAAACTACCCAAAGGAAAGGAAATAAATAAAAGAATGGTACTGTATGCATACCAACCAATGGAAAAGAACACACGCTAAAACACATCAACTCTAAACCACAGTCAAAGTTCAGTCAGAAACCCGGGCACTCTGTAAAGCCTACCTGGAAGATCCATACGGACCTAAAAATTAACATATAGTCAAATGGACGCAAGAAAAGTTTGATATTCCTTCTTTCTATTTCATGACTTCTAAACATCAACAGACATTAGCATTTACAGCATTGTCTAGGAGATTAAATGAAAGCGTTTGTAACTGCTTACAAAAAGCGGATTCATCGGATGGCCTAGTCATTATTTGCTGACCCACATTCTTTGATCCGTCTTATTTATCACGCAAAGCCAAGCTTATTTTCGAGGGCTGAAAAAATATGCGCAGTGATGCTTTGCCCGTTTAAAAAATTTTGTAGTTCTGCGAAGCGTTGCGTCAACGTCGCCGAACTAGTCCGGTAGTTAATGCACAAGTTAGAAAACTAACTATGAAACCCACAGAGGTTTAGGATATTTCTACATTAAAAATGTGCCTATATCTACACATTTAACCCTATTTTTTATGATGTCAGTCGAGACGGGTTTTTTGTACAGCCTTCCTTCGAGCACCATGAAGTATGTTCAGGTGAAGTGTAAACAAATGACTCTGAGGTGAGTGAACTGGCCTTGATGGTTCGTCGTGAGCTCTTTCCCAAAATTTCGTCACTCCCAGACGATCGAAAATTTGTTCCGTTAGAAGACTCTCTGTGTTCATGAAAAATGGATATCACGGCATCGTACTACCGGACACTTTCCTAAGCGCCGTAACTTTATTTCGCTTTATTTCGGTATAGACTAGAACTTAATGGGAAATGGCTTTAGAATCATTTTTTTATTAATGGGTCACAGTATCGATGTAACTGGCTGTGAATAAATCACGACCATGAAAATATACACGGAACTGATCAAACAGCATGCATACTTCTACAATGGCAATCATGCGTCAAGTGAACATACACGCCCTCTTTAACGTAGGCTCAGCGTATGTATGGAGAGCATGGAACGTGTAAAAATGTCCAGAAATTTCTTAAGAAGACGCGCAGATGTGATCTCTACATCTGTCTAACGGAGATCTTTCCACCGTTTAAGTAGGCTTTATGAAAGGAGGTTAAATCGGATATTTCAATCGGAGAGCTTGGAGCGTATTTTCATCACTTATCCAGTATGGTCGGGCAAACTATGGCACTGAGACATGGCAGCAGAACGCAGTCCATGTGTATCGTTTAGATTCCCATAAAGTCACGCATTTGTTGTGTAAAAGATAAGGGAAGTGATCTAACACTTCATTTCTTCTGGGTAAGTTCGGCTGTTTAGAGCCTTTACAATCTTCATTGTTCGTGTATTTCCTGTCCACAGTCAACCATACTTTGAGCAAGACCGAGAGAAATTGTCTTGAGCTAACCTTCGTAGCTTAATCGTGGTGTATAAACGTTAAGTCGATAGCGCGCAATTCTCCTATGGCGTATATTGCAGCTTTCTCGTATCGAGGCGATGGTTTCAAATATCTTCTGATCGGCGTACCTAAGCTCTTTTGCAAATAGTTTATTGACAGAGGGATGCCTACTAGGCTCAATAGTAGGTTGCTACTGCAATTCTGTACAATAAAGAAAGCAGCCAAAACTTGGACCATTTCCATAATTAGCGCAGGTTATTTTGCAGTACGACCCAGTCCTTCGAGTTCTCTGGGAATGCTCGATGTTTAGCTTCATTTGCAAACATTATCTTGCGACGTTCAAGTCCAAGGCGCTTATGAGGAACTTTTAAAAGCAAAGTAAATAACCCCCGAATAGATAACTGCTGATTTCCAGTTGTCGTGATCATCTCTGGTAAATCACCCTGTATTAGATCAGTTATCAACACGCTTGCCTGACTCATAAGTTTTCCTGTAATTTTAAGAAGGTCCGGTTTATGGGGAAAATACTGATGTGGGACATTAGTTGGGGTTTTCTGGCGACAGGTATTATTATCCTGCAGCGCCATCTTGTTTTGTTAAGCTGCGGAACCCACTGAAGAGCCGAACCCTTCGCAACTGCATCATGAAGCGACAGAAGCATCAGTGAAGTACGCGTCTGGACTTCTAGATATTACTTATGCTACAGGAACTGTAAAATCCCTGTCAAAGTTATAATATCTGTTTGAAATTCCTTTCCTAGGGTTAATCTTGGATTCCAAAAGTGTAAGGTGGTTCAGCACGCAAGAATGCCGTCGCCAAAGCTATTCGTGTGATATGTGGTGTGCTGTTGGTCGGAGAATAGCACTGCAGCATACTTCTATGCCACCTTACAAGAAAGCAAGCTTAGGCTAACTGGTCGACCGCTGTTTGAAACTTTCGATAACCTGCTTCAAAAATAAAATTATATTGACAGCTTTCCATTCTAAAGTCAAGCTGTCTGTGCCATTTCTTTGATCAGAAATGATAATTTTCCTGAGAAAAACGGAAATATCGAAAATTCTAAATCCGTGTCAAATTAGTAAATTTAATTATTAGAAGTTTGTAAGGCTTGTCCATAAAAATAACAGAGTAAACAAGAATTGTCAGCACAACAACGTTTGAAACACTATTCTTTGCGTGCATTCGCAGTAAATATCTCCCAAGAATTTGTTTTTTTTAAGGACGGGGCGCAGTAAAGTGCGTAATGTTCGATCATGCGTCTCGGGAGCTTGTCAGGAGAATTAAATGTATTTTTCCAATCTTCGTTTTGTTCGAGATGTGGCTGAATAAACCAGACCGGAGTTCGCTTTGAATTGGTTGATAGCGGCGTCATATGAATAAAGGTTTCCGTAAGGCCATATTTCGAGAGATTGGTCAGCGACTAATAAATTCAAGTAGAATTAGTAATTTCGATCGAAAACGTACCCTCGTAACGATAGGGTGTAGGGCCCCAAGTAGATAGCAACTCCAAACTTATACCCTTAAATCCGGTGTGATTACAAACATCACTTATTATTCAGCGTTCCCATCGACTAAATGTAAACTTACCAGTAGCGTTTTATTCAGTGTTCGTTAATTTTTGAAAGTTGTTTTCTGTTTACTTTTTAACTGTCGCGCCGATCTTCTCTGCCAAATGACAGCTTACGAAAAGACTTTTGGCAGAAATTCATATATTTTTGTGTCTTCTTTCTCTCCGTCCCGTGTGCTGCCGCACCTGTAAAACCCCTTTTACCACCACTCAACGTATGATACGGTCCACAAGCTAGCTCAAGTTAGTTGGGAGTCCTACACCCTATCGTTGCTCATACGCTTTTCTGCGCATCAAGAGGACTTTCTTCATTAGATTACTGGACCGTTTCGGCAACGGTAGAGTCCGTTTGGGTAACAAGGTGTCGTTGAAACGTCGGTCTACGTTTTGCGCTTTTCAGTGCACTTGATAGACTGCTCAAGAGGACGGATTCTGTTATTTACGCCTATCAGGACCTTCAATATAAGACATTTATTAAAAACGTTTACCCAAACAAAGAGTGCTTGGGTGTTCTTGTTCACAAAAGCATCTTTCTTAAAAAACCAAAACTTTGCCTGCTCTACCTGGCTTACGCCAACCAAAAATTGGATTATAAGTGTGCACATGTTGGTTTGATAATGTTTTATTAAGGCTAGTTTACTGAAGTCAGGTAGACAAGCACGCACTGATGCACAAACTTTGTTTAGGACAGTTATTTGCAAGGAAAATTGTCCTTCCTTATCCCCACATGCTACAGTTCAACCGTTGCCGACGGAAATGCCTCCCATGTGCCCGACGGCATGGATTGCGCAGGAGCGGTGATTTGCGTGTGAGGTAGTTTATGGTGATGGTAGACCTACACTGTATCTTGCCTCACTTCCTCTTCCCTCGCCAGCTTGGGCCCAGTGTCTAGGCAGAGTCAAGAACACTGGAGGAGGGATCTTGCGCAGTGGCTAACAACGTCAAACAGTCGTCTGCGCTTTCCACACGCATCTGTTTTGCGCACGAGGAATAGAAACAAGAAGTGCTCCACTCCGATCACAAATGAGTAGGGGTGTCGCCGACGTAGCATTAAGAAAGAACCATTGCGACCTGTCTCCATCATGAGAGGAAGACTGGTTTATCTCGTCAGTTGGTAACCTTCTAAGCCACGGTTTTAGCGCACTGTGGTAGTTTAAAAGCCCGCCAGGTAGTTTGAGGTGGGGAATACGCACTGTCGTTGAGACGAGCCCCCCAGACTTGATCTGGCACTCTCCTCCCTCTGACAGGCACTCATTCACTATTCGAGCCTGCCATTCATCCGGCGCGGGGATAGAGCTCAGTGGCTGATAGAACGTAACAGTCTGTCAGCGCGCCACACGCGGCTTGAGCGTCATCCAACATGCCCGGTTTTCATGCAAACAGGATGGGCTGCTCGGATCTCACATGCGTTGAAGTGGCATACGGTCCACATGGAGAAGATGCCAAAGACCACCCGTCCTGTAATGATGGGAGGTTACTACTGTGGGCACCTGCTTCGACGCCGAGCCTATTGGCACATACATGTACGTACCAGTGCCAGTCTAGTTTCCGTCCAACCCCAGCTATCCAAACCGGCCAATCAACTTCAAGGCCGACTCAAGCATGCCCTCCACCAAGGCGCTGTGACGCATGCTCAACTGACCCTCAGGGCACGCTCTCGTTCGTCTGCCAACTTGTCCCATCCTGTACCGGGTACGGCATCGATTGAATACATGAGTTCA